TATAGGGAAGGAAATATTTATTTTGAATTTTATATTTTCTAATAAATATAAAATTATTATAATTATGTTGAAATTATTAATATAATTTGTTTAGAATTTGATGAAAAATCATTCTAATAATATTTATTTAAGATAAAAAAAATATTTGAATAAATTTTCGAATAATATATATTTTTTTAATAAATAGATTTATAATTCAATTATTATGATATAATTATAATATTAAAAAATATAATTCATAACATATAATATTCTCATAGTATCCTGCTCTCTTTTTTCCCCCCTACTACGTTTTTTGGCGAATACGAGTGTCAAAATTTCCTGAAATCCATTTGGCGCCCTGCAGAGCTGTGATAACACTAGAGAATGAGAGTGTAGTATAGAAAATTGAATTAAGAATATTGCAAAAATGTTGTTCAATGATAAGAATTTTGGAAATAAAGGAAGATTAAGTCTTATATCGTCGAAAGTCATGGGTATATATTGCCTTCTTTTTTCGTATATTTTTTGCCTAGGAATAAACTAATATATAAGGAATAATTTCTTTTTTTCTTATTAACAAATAGGAACTCCGAGGGATTCTTTCGAATCGAAACCTCCGACCTCGACCTAGGAATAATGGATCTCTTGCGAGGTCTGGATTTTGAAGAAACCCATAATTTTTCATGATTTAAGAAATTATTTTTAAAATAAAAATAATTATATCCAAAATGAAATAACGTTATAAAATATTTTCAAAAAAATAAAAAAAATGAGGTCCAAAATACAAATTGTTTGTATTTGTTTTAAGTTTTTGAAATTAATAATATCAAAAATAAGCCAATTCTGAGAAATTTCCTACTAAAATAGAAAATAAATAATACAGAACTAACGACCTCATATCAATATATTTTATTAATGTATTTTTCATATATTTTTTAAATATAATATATTTATTATGAAAAATAAAATCAGGATATACGAAATATTCTACCTAATTTTATTATGTAAAATTGTTTTAGTAAATTATAGTTTATTATTTTAATTTCGAAATATATTTTATATAATATCGTGTATTTTTTCGATATCTTATTTCCCCAAAAGTGGTCCGGTCAATTGTATATAAGTAAATTATGTAAGGAGAAATTATTATATGAAAACAAATTATATATATATAAGGCAAGGTCGATTTCGTCAAATACCATGTTTGTTATGTAAAAAAAAATATCAATAAAAAATGTTGCATCTATAATGCAAACAACCGCGGCGCCCGCCATACTCCAGTACGCCACCAAGGCCGGCCCAATGCCATAAATACCACACCTGTTATGTAAAGTAAAGATTTACGATGCCAAATCTTATACCTATTATGTAAAATAAAGGCCATTTTTATCAAGCCGTACCTTTCCCTAAATCCAACCGTACCACCAACCAACCCAATGCTACAAATACCACGCCTACCACATAAAATAAAAATCCATAATAATACAAAATAAAAATTAATTTCATTATATATTATATTTATTATATAAATAAATTATATAAAAATAAATTATATATAAATAAATTATATAGAAATAATATATAAATAATTTATTATAAATAAATAAATTATATAATAAATAAATTATATATAATTAAATTATATATAAATAAATTATCTTCAAATAAATTATATATAAATATATTATATAAATAAAAATAAATTATATATTAATATATTATATAAATAAAAATAAATTATATATAAATAAACATAAATTATATATAATTAAATATATATAAATAAATAATATTTAAATAAATTATATATAAAAACAATAACAAACATAAATAAAAATAAATACAAAAATATCCAATTAAAAATAATTATATTTTTCAAATATATAAAAAATATATTATAAATATAAAATATATATATATACTAGAGAGTACCCGATACCAAAAAAAAGAAAATAGAGGCGAAGTCCCGAAATCCCAAAGAACGGGAAAGAACGCGGGATAGAATCAAAATTCGATTGTTTTAATAAACATAAAAATA